CTGTAGAGGGGTGTATAGTCCTGTATGGGGGTGTATAGTGCTGTATAGGGATGTATAGTGCTGTATAGGGCTGTAAAGTGCTGTTTAGGGGTGTGTAGTGTTGTATAGGGGTGTATAGCACTGTATAGGAGTGTATAGCGCTGCATAGTACTGTTTAGGGGTGTATAGTCCTGTATAGTTTTGTGTAGTGCAGTGGAAGGATGTATAGTGCTGTATAAGGATGTATCGTACTGTATAGTCCTCTACAATGCAGTATAGGAGTGTATAGGGATTTACACTGTATGCTGTTACACGTATTTTCCCCTCGACCCTCACCAGATGTTTTTTAGTATTCTTCGACTCCCGACAGACCTCTCGCCATCCTAATTATAACCTGAGTCAACTACAGTGTTTTTTTTTCGATCGAGTAAATCGAAGGTTAAGTTCACGTCGAAGGTAGGTTGCAAACATCGGTTTGTGTCGTAACTAGGCTTAACATAATAACAATATCATTTATGATTTTTCCTTGTCAACGAGTAAGATGACCCTCTACACTCTTTTGGAAGGTTATTTTAAAATAAGTTATTGGAATTCTTTTACGTTGCACATCATACGCAGTTCGTCATGCACGATAGAACACTTGACAAATAGAATTATACATTACATGTATTACATTCTCTTTGAGTTCACGTTTTCTTTTCATTTGAACATTAGTTGATTATAAAGAAGAACATCCCTGCCTTACTGTCGACTGATTTAAATGTAATGCTGGATTTCTGCTTGGTTTTAGCGGCCTCATACGTTTCCTCCAAGATGACGGAGAACATATCAGGTATTCCTGTAGTGGACTTCAGTGCAATGAGTCTGACGCACAAGGATCCCTTGAAGGAAAATGCTGAAGCTGTTAAACAACTCGCTGATCAAGTTTATCAGGCTTTTAGTACAATTGGATTCGTGTATCTCAAGAACCATGGAATTCCACAAGAAGTGGTAAGTGTTATGTAATAAGCTATGTAGTTATTATTCAGATTATTTTAAAGCTTATCAGACTCTACCAGCTGAGGGAATCTGACTGAGATAAACAGTTGTGGAGGGAATCTGACTGAGATAAACAGTTGTGGAGGTGCAGGGTTAAGGGCAGAGAACTGTGGGTGGAAAGCTGGTAGTGGAAGGGACTGGAAATCTGTGGTGGGAGAGATGTTCCCAAGATGGTTAGAACCAGATGGTTGAAGTGAAATAATTAGTTTAACCTGAACATCCACCGTGAGGAGGGAAGGAAAGGATATCAATCTTTAATCTGGGACGAAATTTCTCCCTTGGCATTGTTTCTGAAATACAGAAAAGTATATATTTCTTCCCAAATTTCATTATAATTCATCTTTAAGAACATAAGAGCAACACAATTTGTAACAATTCTTTTAAATACCGATCAAAAATTAATGGTAGTTAACATAACAACTACATAATGTTTACTTGTTTGTAAATGTGAAAATACAAATTATATGTTAAGTGGGGTTTTTTTTAAGTTCTATGGAATCAATTTCGGGGTCCATAACATTTTTGCTATCCCTTTCCTAGTAAAGTAAACATTAAGGTCCCTCACAATTTTTCACTCATTTACAAATTGCCATCCATAGTTAACAGTTACATGTAATGGTTAAATTTCTTTGTAATTATTCAAGAGTAGTGATTAGCTTTTTAGCTTGAAGCCATTAGCCATTAGTGATATGTCATTTTATCCCTAGTGCAAAAGCCCCAAGGAGCCCATCACTGGGAGCATTCAAATCAGGCTCCTGCAAGAGTCCTGAAGATTTAAATCACAAATACTTAATTTTTCAGCTGATGTCATCATGACATTCATCAGACATTTTTGAGATGGGATTAGTGCATGTTATTTGGTCAAAATCACTGATGTGGGCTCATGTAGGCCAGAATTGCCCTTTTTGTGGGAAAAGATACTCTAAATATAAAATGGCTGGTAAAAAAGCAGTGAAAATGTTAGTGCATGGGAGTGGGACCACCTCAAGTGATTAGCTCCTTACAACCCTTAAAAATTAATGTGGCATGATTGATGCATTATGCGATGCACAGAACATGTGCTCAATAAAAAAAGAGGCACTGGCATATTCATTTGATGTAATTACTTACATTAAAAACTCATGAATAATGCGTCTATAGATGAATATACCATCTGTAAATAAACATAAGCACGCAAGGCGTGCAAGAGTCATTTTTTTCTGTGAAGTTTTGGAGATAGAAGCAATCATGGTACAGTAATGATTTGGTTAATTTGACAAGTTTTTTTGGTTGCGATGTTACATCGGTCATGGTAAGATAGCTAAATAGTAAGCCATAAAATGTT